GATGTTCTGCTTCAGGCCTCTTGAGGTAGGTGGCGAGTTGACTTGCGGAGTATGAGAGGTCGGGACGGCAAGTGACGGCTGCGAAGAGGAGGCATCCGAGCTTCCTCTGATAGTCGCGTATGCCGGCTGGTTTGAGTAGAGTGGATCGTCCCTTCTCGGTTCCTGTCGTGTAGCGGTATGGCGTGGAGATGGCGGCTGGTGTGAGAGCGAAGCGTTTGGCGATGGTGTCGGCATATTTCGCGGCGTTGAGGTAGATCGCATCTTCTTCTTCTCGGATGTTGAGGCCGAGGTACTGTGTGACGGTAGGTGAGACTGTGAGAGTGAGGTCCTTCTGCAGTTCCCCTTCGAACCAGGAGGTGACGTTGTCTGTCGAGCCGATGTAGAGTAAATCGTCTACGTAGACGATTAGGAGGATGTAGTCTGTACCCTTCGTGAGCCGATACATTCCCTGATCGTGCGGTAGCTGCTTGAAGCCGATGCGAACGAGTCGGGCGTGCAGGTACTGTTGCCACAGTCGTGGGGCTTGTTTGATGCCGTAGAGCGATTTGAGTAGTTGACAGACGTGTGTGGAGTCCGTGCTGGAGCCGTGTGGTAGCTCCACGAAGATTTCTGCGTCAACAGGTGCGTAGAGAAAGGCGTTTGCGACGTCGATTTGTCGTAGCCTTTTCTTCTTCATGGCGGCGATCGCGAGGAGAATGCGTAGTGAGGTGTGTCGGCTGACCGGAGCAAAGGTTTCGGTGAAGTCGCGACCGTGCTCTTGGTCGAAGCCGCGTACGACCCAGCGCGCTTTGAATTTGTCGATGGTGCCATCTGCTTTCGTCTTCACGCGGAAGACCCATTTTCCGGTGAGAATGGTCTTGTTTCGTGCTACGCCGATAGGAACGATTTTCCAGGTGTTGCGTTCTTCTAGCGCTTTCAGCTCCTTGTCCATGGCTTCACGCCATTTTTCCCTGTGTTCCCCCCCCAGAGCCTGCTGAATCGTTGCAGGCTCTTTAGGAATGGCGGCGCCGTGGACTGCGGTGACGAGCCCGAGTATCTGGAGTCCACTCTGTGTGTAGCGGGGGAGTGTGGTGTCCTCGGGATAGACTGCCTCGTCTCCAGCTTCTGGATCAGGTGCGAAGTTGGGCCCTATGCGTTCTGCTTCGTTGGTGTTGACTTCAGCAGGTGTAACGTAACCGTTGTCGGCGAAGTGGTAGTAGGTTTCGGCGTTGACGCTTTCGCGAGGGTTATCTTCGTCCATCGGTACGTCCACTGAGCAGTAGGGAAGAGGTCCGGCTTCTTCCGAGGCTCCTTCCACGTTCTGCTCGTCCCAGTCAGCTTCGTCTTCTGCCGAAGCGAAGGCTCGATCGCCACGGAAGCCACCTGTGGGGTCTCGATTTTCGTCCAGGTTGGCAAGATACGTTGGCAGTGTGAGCCGTTCGTAGAAAATGACATCACGTGCTGCTACTGTTTCCTTGGTGTGGATGTCGAAGATTTTCCACGCGTTGTAATGTTTTTCGATGCCCAGGTGTAGTCCCCACTGTGCGCGTTGGGAGAATCGGCCGGCTCGTGCAGATGGGGGTCGGTACTGTACCATGCAGCCGAAGACTCGTAACATTTTTGTGCTGCCCAGTTTCCCTGTCCACAGCAGATGCGGTGATGTGTTGTTCGGGAGTGACGACGAAGAAAGCAAGTTGTGCAGCATCACGGCGTGGTCCATTGCTTCGGGCCACTGGTGGTTGGGTAGCCGCATGCCACGTAACAGTTTGCGCATGGTGTTCTGCAGAGTCCTGTTCATCCTTTCTGCTACACCCTGCTGTTGATGGGCGTAGGGAAGGGAGATGAGTCTCTTGATTCCCTTCTCCGCCAGATACTGCTTGAACCGCTGTGACGAGAAAACTTTTGAGTTTAGCTCCCGATTCCCGTTCTGCTGCTGGAAGCCATGCCACGAAAGCCTCGAAAGCCATGTCGCGACTTGGTAAGTTTAGGTGCCAGACGTAACGTGTAGCGGCGTCGATGAAGGTGATGTGCCGTTGAGGGACCGGCGACTGGTGTTGATGTTTCTGCTGCTGCTGCTGTTGTCTGTGCTGCTGTCGATGTTGTTTCTGCTGCTGCCAATGTTGTCTCTACTGCTGCCGATGTTGTCTCTGCTGTTGCCGATGTTGTCTCTGCTGCTGCCGATGTTGTCTCTGCTGCTGCCGATGTTGTCTCTGCTGCTGCCGACTGCTGAATTGTCGCCAGCGCCCTTGTTCTTTCTGTTTCAGGGATGGTGTGTGAGTACCAGAAGCCGCTCGGGCTGAAGTCTGGATCAAGATCTGGAGGATGTGTCCAGTCAGTGAAGTTGACGATGGCGTCGCTGTCGGCCGTTCCGAGATCGGGGACGAAGTCAAGAACGAAGACGTTGTTCTTGAGAACCGCCTTGCCGATGTAGAGACCTCCTCTCCCGTGGTACAGCTTGAATTCCTGGGTTGTGCTGTCTGCTTCAAGGTGAATGCCTTTCGCCATCAGTTGACTGACGCTGAGTAAGTTGTAGCCGAGGCCTTCTGCAATTAAAACCTTGGACATCTGTAGAATGACGTTCGTTTCTCGTGACTGAAGTTGAACAACTCCTTGTCGTCGTGTGCGCAGGTTCTGATTGTTGGCGACGGTGATGACCACCTCTCGTTGAAGCTGGTATTCTCGTTGTACGAAGCGTCCTGAGGAGCACATGTGTTGTCCGCAGCAACTGTCCAAGAACCACGTGTCCTTCCCGGATGGCTCGTTTTGGGCTATGGCAGCGTATGTCGGGTTCGGCTGAAGTGACTCGCGGCGTGGTGTCGTTTCGTCGAATTGCTCTTCTGGTGAGTAGTACGGTGGCGATTCTGTGATGCAAGAATCGTTCAGTCTTGCCATGCAGCTAACGATGTTTCTTGCTCCTTGCGCAGGTTGTCCCGTTGGAGTTGTTGAAGATTGGAGCTGGGTCGTTGGATTCGGCTGTGTTGATGCGACTTGATTGCTTGAAGGTCGTAGTTGTCGCTGCGGAGTCGGTTGTCGATTCGGGCAGTGTGTGCGCGGGTGTCCTGAAGTCTTGCAGATGTGGCAGAAAGGAGGTACTGGCTTCGGTTGTTGTTGTCGATTGTTGTAATTGTTGTGACGTCGTTGAGTGTGAAACGCGAACTCTGATGTTGTCGTCTTCTTTCTGTGTCGTTCTTCTTGCAGGTCCATGTCCTGCTGCTCAGCGTGGATTTCGGCGCAGAGTGCTGCTTCAGAGATTCTGCCGTGGGCTCGGAGGATAGCTTTGGTGGCGCGCCATTGGGGACCGAGACCACCAATGATGACTGTCACGAAGGCGTCTTCAGAGATTGACCCTCCGCATCGAAGAAGCTTGTCGCGCAGTTCGCGACATCGGCTGATATACGCCATCCCCTTTTCTCCCGGTTTCATTTCAACTGTTGTCAACTGCGCCATTAACCTGCTTTGGTTTACGCTGTCTGTTGCTTGATACAGGCTCTTCAGGTGGCTGTACGCGAGCTCAGCGGAGTTGCCGTAACCCCGGTAAGAGCGTATGTTCTGCTGCTGAGTTGGTGTGACGTTCCTCAGTAGAATCGTATACGCCATCATCGATTGATACGTATACTGCTGCTTCTCATACTGTGTGCCGTTTGCTGGATATTGCAGGGACCCGTCGAAGAAGCCGAGTATCTGCGCGCCTTCCATCATTAACTCAAACTCGAATGACCAGGTGAAGAAGTCCTTTCCGTCGAAGGGCCTTGATGTCTGCAGCTTCAGAACGTGCGCGAACTGCGATTGCACTTGTAACGCGTCCAGTGGTTTATCTTGTCCAGGTGAAGGCTGCGGCATGAAGCTGATCGACCCGCGCTCGTACGGGGCGAAGGTAGGTTGCTGCTGTTGGTTTCCGCGCGCATATGACGACCCGTCAAGGCTCATGGGTGTTGCTCCGTTGTTGTTGCTGTTGTGTGATTGTGCAGGTCCCGACTGCTGGTGCTGCTCGTAGAAGGACATGAAGGAGAAGAACTTCTCCATTATACTCGGGTCGAAGTTCGCGGGGTGATTTGCGGGAGTTTCAGTAGATGTTACTCTTGGTCTTGTTGCCGTGCCTTCCTCTGTCTGCAGGCCAGAGGCAGGAGGTGGAGTAGGAGTAGTGCCTGGGGAGCCGTTAGAGGAGCTCCTTTCCTTGCTTGTTGCCATGTCTTGTAATGATTTGAAGGTAGTAGAGTTTCCCCTGTTTGCTCTCATACCATGTTGGGCTGAGATAGCCCCTTAGGATCTTTCAAGGGAGAACTCTGGATGGATAGTGTTGTAATAGCGGAAGCGTTTAACAAAAGTTTGTGAACCACCTTGCGCTGGTATGTGAGGGCAAAGTAGATTGATTATAGCAAGGAAGTACAAGATTATATAATAATACAAGGAATATGAAAGGATGCAGTTTGTAACTACTTTACTGTTGCTGTTGCGGTTCGATACAGTACGACTCGGGCAACTGCTCTGTAACGAGTCAGCTGTGTGTCCTTAACTGTCGCGCTGTATTTGTCAGGTCAAAGGTCGCTTGACCTTTGACTTTCGCGTAACCTCCAGCAACCTCTTTTAACCTCCGAGGGTTGACTCGCGGGTGCTTCGACATGGCGTGCTTCGCTTCTGGTGTGGTGTTTCGACACGACAGAGGCGTTTACAATTTATTGTTTCCAACAAGCACGTGGCAGAATTCGCGCTTCGCAAGGGTAAAAATGTACGCGATATTTCAACTTTCACTATAATATATTGCAGTTTCGATTATAAGACACATATGTCTTATCTCGTACACACAAATAAGACACCCGGATAATAGACAACCCCTGTCTACTATTCAACACTGTCTACTATCCGGGCGTTTGCGGTACTTGGCCTGGAATTTCGCTACTAGCATTACACAAGAATCTTATGCCACCACAATGACATCAGTGGTGAGCATAGACTACTACCGTATCTATTGTTGTGAAGGGTATGTATCTATTGTAAAAAATACGTGACAACTTCGAAGTGTATCACGAATAGTCGTACAAGGAGATGGACTTATCATCAGATACACTTGCCAACCGGCCCGCCCTCACCCCTTCTCCCCCAGGGGGCCGGAACGCCACCCCCCACACCTGATCCTTGTGCTCCTTGGCTGCCTGCAGGGCTGCTCGTTGCCGCATGTCCCACAGCCTCACCGTGCGATCACTGGAGCCTGATGGGTGACAGGAAGAGGAGTAAGGAGTGAGAAGAGGTGAGACGGGATGAGGGGTGCAGCACGCCACACCCCACATCCGGTCCCTGTGCTCCCTTGCCACCTGCAGGGATGTCCACTGCCGCATGTCCCACAGCCTTACTGTTCAATCACTAAAGCCTTCAGCAAGAGGGAAGTTGAGATGGAGAAAAGGGTGGGGCAGGGGTGCGACGGGGAGAGAAGGGGTGACAAGGGAAACACCACACCCCCACCTGCAGGGCTGTCCTCTGCCGCATGTCCCACGGCCATAACGTGCGATATCTGCAGCCTGCTGCATGACCGCTGTGGGGGCACAGAACAAGAAGGGGTGAGAAGCGGTGAGGAGGGGTTCAACACGCCACCCCCCACACCTGGTCCTCGTGCTCTCTCGCCACCTGCAGAGCTATCCGCTGCCTCATGTCCCACAGCCTTCCCGTGCGATCACTAGAACAAGAACCTGAGGGATGACAGGAAGAGAGGGGGTGAGAGTGGGTGAGAGTGGGTGAGAAAAGGTGACAAGGAGTGAAGGGGGGTGCACGGCACACTCCAAACCTGATCCCTGTGCTCCCTGCCTACTTGCACGGCTGGCCGTTGCTGCATGTCCCACTCGTGGCAGGCTGGAGGGGTGCTATGACGAGGGTGAGAGGCAGTGAGACACGGGCAGGGTGGTGCGGTGGGAAGGGGTGATGAACGGTGCCTTGTGACAGGGACAGGCAGGCATGGCAAGTGGCATTGATGGTATGAGCTACATTGATGAGATGCCAACCACATACTCCCTTACACACCTGTGGCGATGGTGGCACCATCAGGGCTACAGTCAGCAGAGAGCACCCAGCTGGTGTGGCCTGAGAGCGCTGCTATGAGCTGCCTGCCCTCCACGTCATACACGTGCGTGTGGCGGTCGTCACTCGCCTGGTGGGCGGAAGGTAGGGAAGATGGGAGGGGGGAGGGGAAAGGAGAGGGTGGGAGGGAGGAAGAGGAGCAAGGCAAGGCAAGATAGCGCGTTTGAGAGCGCTGCTATGAGCTGCCTGCCCTTCAGGTCATACACGTGTGTGTGTGTGGCGGTCGTCACTCGCCTGACGAAGAGAAGAGGAGGGACGGAGGGGGAGGAGGGGTGAGGATGGCAGGGGAGGAGGGGTGAGGATGGCAGGGGAGGAGGGGTGAGGATGGCAGGGGAAAGGCGGTGTGGGTCACAGAGGAGCAACGCGGAGTGGCTAGAGATGTGCTGCTGTGAGCAGCCTGCCTGCCTTCCACATCAAACATGTGTGTGTGCGCGCTAGTAGGCACTCGCCTGGATGGGAAGGAAGGGGGGGGTAAGGGTGGAAATGGGATAAAAGAAGGTTGTTACACACTCTCACGCCCTCCACGTCTTATCCATGTGAGTGCCAGCTGTCAGTCGCCTGGTCAAGAGAAGAGGAGGGTGAAGAGGCAAGGCGAGGCAGGCCGTCAGCCTGTGCTGTCAGCTCAGATAAACCAGAACAACTGAGGGAGTGGGGTGTAACACAAGGCCGCTCAATGCTCGGTGCGGCACTGCAAACCCCATTATTGACCCACACAAGGAGCGAGCTGGACCGTGCGAAATGACTAGTGGACACAAGCTGAGAGCGACCCACAACACAGCATCGAGCCGAGCATCACTCACAGTGACTAGTAAGCTCGGGTTGGTGGGTGAGGAGGCGCTTCTTTGACCCACACAACCAGATGCTTGCTAAGAGCAGTCTGAGAGCAGTCTGAGGCTGAGAGCGACTCACAGTGACCAGAATCCGGGGGTCGACGGGTGGGAAAGCTGACTCATATAATGAGAATGGGAACGAGAAGGCTGAATCTCAGCAGCATGTTGAGATTTCTTAATGGTAACTTGGATGATATGAGAAGCAGGCTGAGAGCGAGATACCGGTGACGGGGTGAGAGTGGGATACTCACAGTGACGGGGTGAGAGTGGGATACTCACAGTGACGAGAATGCGCGGGTCGATGGGTGAGAAGGCGAGGGAGCGAACAGGCAGGTGGTGACCTTCCAGGAAATGCAGGAACCGGAAGGGCGATGCTGACGTGTCAAACACCGCTACAGTGCCGTCCATGCTGCTACACGCCAGCCGTTTGCCGTCCACGCTCCACGCCACAGACAAGACAAATCGCCCGGCCAGTGTCGTTGCTGCTGCTGCTGCTGCTGCTGCCACTGCCGCCGGCGGTGGCTGGGGCTGCGGGTCCAGCTGGCAGGTCGAGAGTGGTGGCCTCCTGCCACGTGGCAGTGCTCCATAGCTTGACAGCCTGGCTGCTGCCGCCCGCCACTGCGAGAAAACTGCCCTGCGAGGGATGTAAGGGGGAGAGGAGGGATGAGAGGAGGGAAGAGATGAGAAGGGGAGGGGATGGGAGGAGGGGAGGGATGAGAGGATTTGAGGGGCGAGAGCAGAGGAGGGATCAGACGAGTGAAGGGACGAGAAAAGGGCAGGGCTGAGAAGGGGAGGGGATGAGAGGAGTGGAGGGATGAAAAAGGTGAAAGGACGCACCTGGGGGTGGAAGGGCGCACCTGGGGGTGAAAGGACGCACCTGGGGGTGGAAGGGCGCACCTGGGGGTGAAAGGGCGCACCTGGGGGTGGAAGGGCGCACCTGGGGGTGGAAGGGCGCACCTGGGGGTGGAAGGGCGCACCTGGGGGTGGAAGGGCGCACCTGGGGGTGGAAGGGCGCACCTGGGGGTGGAAGGGCGCACCTGGGGGTGGAAGGGCGCACCTGGGGGTGGAAGGGCGCACCTGGGGGTGGAAGGGCGCACCTGGGGGTGGAAGGGCGCACCTGGGGGTGGAAGGGCGCACCTGGGGGTGGAAGGGCGCACCTGGGGGTGGAAGGGCGCACCTGGGGGTGGAAGGGCGCACCTGGGGGTGGAAGGGCGCACCTGGGGGTGGAAGGGCGCACCTGGGGGTGGAAGGGCGCACCTGGGGGTGGAAGGGCGCACCTGGGGGTGGAAGGGCGCACCTGGGGGTGGAAGGGCGCACCTGGGGGTGGAAGGGCGCACCTGGGGGTGGAAGGGAGCACCTGGGGGTGGAAGGGCGCACCTGGGGGAGGAAGGGCGCACCTGGGGGTGGAAGGGCGCACCTGGGGGTGGAAGGGCGCACCTGGGGGTGGAAGGGCGCACCTGGGGGTGGAAGGGCGCACCTGGGGGTGGAAGGGCGCACCTGGGGGTGGAAGGGCGCACCTGGGGGTGGAAGGGCGCACCTGGGGGTGGAAGGGCGCACCTGGGGGTGGAAGGGCGCACCTGGGGGTGGAAGGGCGCACCTGGGGGTGGAAGGCGAGGTGCCAGGTCTCAGCAGGCGGGGCTTCGAGTGTGGCGATGGTGGCGTTGGAGTCCACGTCAAACACCCTCACCATGCAATCCAGGGCGGACGCCGCTGCTCTGCCGCTGGTGGGGCACGCTGCTATGGCCACCACTCCTGGAGGACCAAAGGGGTGGTAATCGATGCAAGGGAAGGAATGGCGTCCAGTGAGGAGGGTAGTAATTGCGAGTTGAGTGAAGAATGTCTTGTGTGTGCTGTGTGGTGTGGTGTGGTGTGGTGTGGTGTGTGGTGAGGAAGGGAGCTGGGAAGGGATGGTGTTGGGACGATTCAATAGACCCACAATTATTGAACGCGGAAGCGAGGTGAGTGTTGCTTGTTCTGTCGCCGGAACCCCTCTTGCCTGTCCCTATCGCCTGGCCTCGTAAGTCGCTTGTCACCTGTCACCCGTCACCCGTCGGCCGTCGGGCCTACCGTCTGTCGCCGGTCGCCCGTCAGCTGTCGCATTTCGCCCGGCCCTGTCTATCGCCTCACCCAGCGTGTGGCCGCTGTTGGATCGCACGGCCGTGAGATCGTCGCCGGCCCACACGCGCACCGACTCGTCCACGGATCCCGTCAGCAGCACCGCCTGCGGCCGCGCGTCCGTCGGCGGCGCCCACGCGGCGGCCCAGATGCCATCATCGTGAGCGTCCGTCAGCTGCTTGATCGGCGAGATCTTTGGCATTGCGCGGCGCGTGATTCAAACGGCAGGCCTGGAGTGGTTCTGACGGCTGCGAAATGTGAAAGGGGAGTGCGACAGATGCAGACGAAAATAAATGCGCTGCGTAACGTGAGGTGACTGGTTTGTTGTTGGCGAGTGTCAAGCCTGGGATCAAAATAGGTCAAAACCAGCCTGAATGTCATAACTACAGGTCCTGAAGAAATACGCTAAAAGAAGTCCAGCTATCATGAATAGTGTCAACAACTTGTACTCCAATGTTTAAATCTTATTTCTTTGCACCAAACGATCACAATCCCTTAGCAGAGTGATTGGTACGATAAATACGTCAAAATACAAACAGGAGTAACTCCCCGACTTCACCAGACACCAAATGACGGTAGCCTCATAGATGTATCAAAGTTACTGTCAGAATCTAGAGACAAGAATGAATGCATTGATCAAGAGTTGGGTACATAAGCTAACCCTAACATTGGGTTGTACCCCATATGGGCTACCCCACTAGCAGCCTACACAAACACAATATGCATAGTTTGACACACCCCCATAGGCAAAGTGGGGGAGAACAAGGGGTCACAAGACCAGTCAAGAGAAACAAACCAAGCTCAGGGTGGATCACAACGTCACCACACAGACTGAGCACAAGCAAAGGGCCACAAGGCCAGTCCACATGCAGAGGTATATATGCAACAAACAAAGTACAGTGATCACTACCTAGCAAGAGCAAGCATGCAGGTATATATATATAAAGATCACAGTACAGACAGAGTCTACAGCAAGTGTGGAAACGTAGGCACAAGGCCCAACAAGGTACAAAAGCGCTGATGATCACCAGACGGAAGTGCCTTGGTGAATATATCAGCAGTGTTGGCCCGAGTGGCCACGTGTGCAAGACGAAGCTGACCGCGCTGCTGCAACTCTCGAGCCAGGAAGTAACGCAGAGCGATGTGCTTCGTTCTGTGCTCCAGTCTGTGCTCCTCACACAAGGCAATGGCTGCCTTGTTGTCAACGTACAGAACTGGAGGAGAACGAGGCCGCTCTCCCAGGTCGGTCAGCAGGCGCAGCTCCTGAGCAGCCATGGCGGTGGCGTAGATCTCAGCCTCACAACTGGAGCTGAGAACAGAAGACGAGCGAGTAGAACGCCACGAAACAGAACCAGAGCCGAGGCTGAAAGTGTAACCCTGTGACGACCGCTGTGTAGCCTGGTCGTCAACCCAAGACGCGTCTGAGTGCCCAGTGAGGACCACCTCTCGCCGTCCTCCAAGCACGAGCCCCATGCCCGATGTACTGCACAAGTAGCGCAGTACCCTCTTCGCAGCATCCCAGTGCACCTTTCGGTGCCGACCAGGAGCCACGTAGCGGGCCAAAAGGCCAAGAGGGTACGCAAGGTCAGGACGAGTGCAAGTCATCAGGTACATGAGGCAGCCTACTAGCTCTGGGTAAGGACCACTCGGCTCTACGGACTCGTCCGAAGGTGGAGCTGAGAGCGAGTGACCTGTAGCCAGAGGAGTGGACTGTGCCGAGGACCAGGTGAAGCCGAAGCGCTGAAGGACCTGCTGCACCATGTGTGACTGAGTCAGAGTGATGGTGCGACGTGCTCTGTCCCGGGTGATCTGCAAGCCAAGGTAGCTGCGCAGCTCACCCAGGTCTGTGCACGTGTGTCTCTTCTGCAGCTCCGACTTTACCAGGGCGAGAGCCTCAGTGTCAGCAGTGGCAAAGACCAAGTCGTCGACGTACACGAGGATGTAGAACGTGTCAAACATTATATGTTTATATGGTTGTAGGCTGTAGTGGGTTACGCCTTAGGGGGTACACTGGATTAGGGTTTCCTATTTGTATCCAGCCTTCTGTTAGTACAGTCATTCCTGTCTGTTAACTTCGACATGGTTTCAGAGCAGGTCCTTCGCTAGGACCGTCCTAAGGGCCCACCTACCTACCTACCTACCTACTACCGGAGTGCCTTCTTAGCGCCTCCCACGTAGCGCCCTCGAGCGCTTTATTATTAACCTTTTTTTTCGGCCCCGCTGGCCCCGTCGATGGAGCCCCGCCTAGAGGCCCCGCGCCCCGTCGTTTTTGACCTAGAGGCCCCTCACGGCCCCGTCGCGCCGCCCCTTAGCCGCTCGAGCGCGGTCGCATTCCCTCGCGCACGCCCGCAGCCGCCCGTCGCCCGCTAGCGCACGCCCCGCAGGCCTGCAGCCCGCCGTCGCAGCAGCCGCTCGCTCGCAGCCGCCCGTCGCCCGCTAGCGCACGCTTCGCAGCCGCCCGTCGCCTGCTCGCGCGCGCCCCGCAGCCGCCCGTCGCCTGCTCGCGCACGCCCCGCAGCCGCTCGTCGCCTGCTCGCGCACGCCCCGCAGCCGCTCGTCGCCTGCTAGCGCACGCCCCGCAGCCGCTCGTCGCCTGCTCGCGCACGCCCCGCAGCCGCCCGTCGCCTGCTCGCGCACGCCCCGCAGCCGCCCGTCGCCTGCTCGCGCGCGCCCCGCAGCCGCCCGTCGCCTGCGCACACACGCCCCGCAGGCCCGTAGCCCGCCGTCTCAGTGGCCGCCCGCCCGCAGCCGCCCGTCGCCTGCTCGCGCACGCCCCGCTGCCCGCAGCCGCTTGTACGCCGCTTCTTCCGCTGCTGCTTGCGCACCGCTCCCTCCCGAGCGCCGTTGCTGCCCCTACGCTGCTGCTGCCCGTGCGCCACCGCTACTCGTGCACCGCCGCTGCCACTCGTGCGCTTCTGCAGCCGCCGCCCGCGAGGCCCACGCTCTCACTGCTATTATTTTCTACCTACCGTGCACACTGCTGCCACTGCAACAGCCACCAGTGCACCGTTGCAGCTCCTGCTGCCCAGCTACCTACTACTGCCGCTAGTGTGCCACTACGGACAGTCGACCCCGCCCGCGCCTTACCTAGTGGCCCAGCCGGCCCCGTTGACTCTCCGCACACTGTTCCAGCGGCCTGATTCCTACTGCTACTGTCGCTATGGCTAGCCCTCCCGTTCTAGCTTTCGATGCCGAGGGCCGTCCGGTGAAGTTCGAAACCTGGCTAGATGACCTGCATCTGTTCTTACAGCTCACTGCCAAGGAAGATATCTCACTGTACGACCACGCCCTAGGCCATGCCACTGCCCCTGACTCGTCTGCTGACAGCACTCTGCGTTCCCAGTGGCAGACCCGTGATGCGCACGCTCGCTTTGCTATTCGCAACTCCCTGCCGCTAGACGAGCGCGAGCACTTCGGCCAGTGCAAGACTGCTAAGGACCTCTACACAGCTGTAGTTGCCCGCTACTCCTCACCCGCTTCTGCCACGCTAGGCCGCCTCACTCTCCCCTACCTGTTCCCCGACCTAGCCTCCTTTCACACTGTTGCAGACCTCATCACCCACCTTAAGACTAGTGAGGCCCGCTTTCGCGCTGCTATGCCTGCCGAGTTTCTCACTAGCAACCCCCCCCCCGCTCTGGATCACTCTCTACCACATCGTCACCCGCCTCCCTGACTCTCTGCGCGCAGTCAGGGACCACTTCCTCTCTCGCTCCCCCACTGAGCTCACTGTTGCCCTCCTCGAGAAGGAACTGCTTGCAGCTGAGGCGAGTATCGTCGCTGTAGGCACCTCTCGTGGCGACCCCCGCACCCCGTTCTTTGAGGGGTGTTCCCCTTCCCCCCTCCTCCCCTCTGTCGCCTCTGCTGCTGCTGTCGACCTTCTTGGTGCTGAGAAGGTCGGGACCGCGTCTGCTTCGAGCGGGCGCCGCAGGAACAAGGGGGGCAGGGGTGGGGGTGGTGGCGGAGGAGGTGGGGGTGGAGGCGGTGGGAGTGGAGGCGCGGCTGGGGAGACTAGTGGCGGCAGTGGGGGAGGAGACAGCAGCGGTGGGAGTGGTGGTGGAGGCGGCAGCGGAGGCGGAGGTGGTCGTGGCGGCGGCAGGGGTGGAGGTGGCCGGGGCGGCGGCGGTGGGGGTGGTGGTCGTGGAGGCACTGGCGGAGGGCAGAGTCAGCAGCCAGCCCCGACGCTTCAGGCCGCCCGTGAGTGGTATGCGCAGCGTGGCTTTACCTGCACGTACGTCATTCGCACAGGTGACCGCAGCGGCCAGCAGTGTGGGAGGCCGCACCCCACGCAGCGCTGCTTCGCGCGCCTTAACGACGCGTGGCGCACTCAGTTTCCTGCTGCCACTGAGCTGCCGCGCTGGGCTGATCTGGAAAAGAGGGGTGTTGATATTTGGGCTTTAGACTTTGATGCTATTCTCACTGCCATGTATGCGATGTCTATTAGTGGAGAGGGTGCTCAGTACTTGCGTGTTCCGCCCGACCCGGGCATTCAGGCCAGTCCGGCTGCCGCTCTAGGTGCTAGTGCGTCTGCTCCCACAGGTCCTGGTGAGGCTGCTGCCCTAGGTGCTCGTGCGTCCGTCCCCCCTGGTACTGAGTCGACTGCAGCACTGCACACCTTCACCCTGGACTCAGGTGCTTCTCGCTCCTTCTTTCGTGACCGCACTGTCCTTGAGCCACTAGCTCGGCCAGTTGCTGTCTCCCTTGCTGACCCCTCTGGGGGCCCGGTCATTGCGACCTCCTCCACTGTCCTTCCTTGTCCGGCGGTTCCGTCCGGCATGCTGTCGGGTCTCTACCTCCCCTCGTTCTCTACGAACTTGGTGGCAGGTAGTGCGCTCCAGGACGGGGGTGTTCACCAGTTCACCCCTGCCTACGAGCGCGTGACACACTGCACGTGTGCTCGGACGGGTCGCCACCTGGCTACCTTCACTCGGGAGCCGGGGTCGGACCTTTACACACTGACCACTGAGTCCCCTCAGGTAGCTGCGTCCGCGTCTGCGTCTGCGTCAGGTCAGCTGTCCGCCCCCTGCTCGTGTCGCTCTCTGACGCATGAGACTGTCCTTTGGCACCACCGCCTTGGTCACCCGTCTGTGCAGCGCCTTCGGGCCATGCACAAACGGGACCTTGTTGCTGGTCTTCCCAGGGTGCTCCCTCCCCTTCCCGACTCGCCTGCTCCTCCCTGTATTCCCTGTGTCGAGGGACGGCAGC